AGAGTACCTTTTTTTTAAAACAAGATCTAAAGCTAAAATGTTTTTTCATTTTGAGTAGAGTAAGAAAGGGTTAAAAACCACTTTCAGTTTCTTTTTGGGGGTTTTTGCCCTCTGTGTCCCAATTAAGAGATTTCCCTTCACTTCCTGTAGACATATCAGAGAAGTGAGAGGTAATTTCTCCACGGTGAGGAACAGCTGTCACCAAAAACAAGTGTATCACTATACTTCAGAAGAAATACCCTCTAATCCTGTTCTGATGACAGCTTAATATTTGTCACTTTCTACATACTGAAGCCAATGGATCATTGTGACAACCAGGGAACTGGCATTTTCAGAAGGAGACTTCAGCGCTGACAGTCTCTGCATTTCTTCAGCGCAGATTTTTTTAATAGAATTATAGGCTCTTCTCTCACCCCCATACCCGTATTTCATTATTAGCCCTTATGCACATGGGCACATGCGGGCCGTACATGTAAAATTCCAGCGTATTTCCCCACCCAGGAAGCCACAGTCCAGTGTACACAGACATCAATGGCTGTATGAACCTGTACGGCAGGTAAACGACAGTACTTTCATAAATTTGCGCATGCACATGAACGTATGCCCCGAACGCAGACTGCCTGCATTTGGGGCACATGTTCGTACGCATGCGTGAGTCTACGAAAGTACCAGCATATACCCACCGTACAGCTGCATACAACCATTGATGTCTATGGGCAACTGTACACAGCACCTGTGGCTTTCCATGTAGGCAAATACGCCTGAATATACGTATACTTTCCCCATGGGCCCGCGTGTATGAGGCTTTACACTTTTTACAAGAATGATGCATATTATATTAGCATATTTTTAAACATGAACCATTGTTAGTAAATCAATATTTCTGTATCGGTGCCACAATCCAAAGGAGGATTAGGCTACATTCACATGGGGCTTTAGGCTGCCGATGGGGATTCCTGTGGTGAGAACCTACTGATTCTTGCAGCAGGAATCTCACGTGTGTCCGTAAGGAGGCGGCCCGGGGGCCATTCAAGTTAATGACAGGGTGACAGCAGCCGCATCTGTCAGCAGCAGTCTGATTGTAATCATACATGGAATGAATACCTGCAATTTGGGATAGATGACTGTCCCTGGGTGCAATCTGTCTGCATCCAGGAACAATCATCTAACATTTGTTACCCATCTCATGTCTCAGGTTGCTATGGAGAAGTTCCAGCGTGAATAGAGAAAACATTTGAGGGAGACTGACCTAAAGACAGTTAGATTGTACGTGAATATCTAACCACCTAACAATATGACACACTTTATAATCATCAGCTCTACAAGATCTACCTTATGACAGGCCATTGTCTGAAGGCTGAAGAAACAATCTGCTCTTCTAAAACTGACTATATGAGTCTCTAATTATAACATTTATGTTCCTTTGTGACTATAATCTGTATCTTTTGTTCTCAGCTCACACTGTATATCTTGAAGTCCATCATTGTACCACTGTACCGTATGTTCCTTTGTTCTGTCAGGGTCACTGAAAAAAGATAGACAGGTTGGCAGTATTTGGAATATGACTTCATCATATTTCCCTCGCTCTGTGTTCTAAGAGAGAGCTGCCAAATCTTATCAGAACAGAGAAAGTACTAGCACAAGCAGAGGTGTTCCTGCAATGAGATGAGATGCGTATCTCAATTCAATGAGAAGTCTATGAAGAGAGAGCAAGAAAAAAATAGATTGTTTTCATTTTTAATTTAAAAAGTGCTCTTTCTTTTATGCGTTTTCATTATCTTTTCATACTGCAGCTGTTCTGCAGATTGCTGAATTTTATTAGGGTTTTCTGATAAAATTCCAATACACCCTTTGGTGTCCAGGGGTGACTGTTTTCAGGCTGCGCACCAATGCCTGCCAGTGAACTGTTGAGTGCTGAATATTACGATTCCATTGGGGGGGCCAGAGGAGTGACCAGTGCCAACATGCACTAGACCAGTGAAGTAATCAGTGCCAACATGCACTGGTCACCACCATCTGTAAAAAAAAAAACCTTACTGGACCCCACTAGACTGACCGCCAAACTCCTAGAACATCTAGTCTATAACCCTCTGAGCTGCTGTGTCTCTAATAATAACCTTCTCGACCCCTTAAATTATGGCTTTTCCCTTCAGTCTCCTGGTGCATCACTAATTCATAATGGCACACCACTTCCTAAAACTCAGTCTTTCAAAAACTGAGCTCATCATATTTATCCTTCCCTGACTTTTCCAGTAGCACAGCTATCCTTCCCTCCCCTCATGCTAGAGTGCTAAGTATAATCCTGGATTCTGACCTCTCCTGTCAGCCCCACATGTAATCCTTGTCCAAATCTTGCCACCTTCACCTCCGTAACATTTCCAAAATATGCCTCTCCTTAACCAATGACACCATGCTGCTAATTCACTCATTTGTTATCTCATATCTCAGCTATTGCAACTCCCTCTTTGCTGGCCTACCTCAGCCTATACAGGCTATCTCCCCTTCAATCTATCATAAATGCTGCTGCCAGACTCATCCATCTAACCAATAGCTCAGTGTCTGCCACCCCCCTCTGCCAATCCCTCTACTGGCACCCACTTCCTCAGAGAATAAAATTCAAAATACTAACAAAAACATTCAAAGCCATTCATCACTCGACCCTGAGCTACATCACCGACGTGTCTCAAAATATCACCCAAACCATCCTCTTCACTCCTCCCAAGACTTCCTGCTCTCTAGCTCCCACATCACATTCTTCCATGCTCGCTTCCAGGACCTCTCCAGAGCCTCTGCCATCCTTAGGAACTCTATACCCCAAACCTATCTCCTACTCTGCTCACCATTAGGAGATCCCTGAAACCGTATCTCTTCAGAGAAGTCTATCCCACCTCTTCCTAATCCCCACACAATTACTGTACTACCTTTTGTATCCGTTGCCCTTCCCTTTCAGTTTGTAAGCTCTCAAGAGCAGGGCCTGCCCTTGGTAAGCCTCTTTTCTTAATTTTATTTGCCTGAACTGTCTCTTTTTATTTTGTAAACTATTGCCACTATAATATATATATAGTATATTATACAAGTATTCTACTTGTATAATATACAGTATGTGACCTAAAAACATGCAAACCACAAGTTCTCTATCTAATATAAATGCAGCAGTTGTAGAGTATGACGGTATCGCTCTTTACTCCGATCCATTAATACAATTATATAGCACTAAACTGTGCATCCATTGGAACACCCGCACAGATCGTCCTCTGAGCTGCGGGCAGCCTGTGCCTGTTTACAGGTGCCCGCAGCTCAGAGAAAGATTCGGGTTTCAGGCAGATGTGGCTGCCCGAGATCACGCTTGACTAGGACCTTGGCAGGCGCACGTGATTGCTCCACCGCTCTTCTAGCTCTGGTGATCTATCACATAGAGAAGAACGAGGAGACGTTCCTCTATGTGATAAATCACCAGAGATAGAAGAGCTGCCTG